CAACCTACGTTGACATTCCATTGAAAAAGGGAACTCTCACTAAGCAAGACTGGCAACCCTTGTTAGATAAAATGTCTAAAAGACTATCATTGTGAAAAAGTAAGCAACTATCCATTGAAGGTAGACTGACCCTAATTAACATTGTCCTAGTTTCCCCTCCCCTATACTATTTGTCATTCTTCAAACTCCCCACATGGTTAATCAAAGCAATGGACAAGATTAGAAGGAACTTCTTATGGGATGACACAAAATCTTACTTTCCTTGTAAATCTCTAGTTAAATGAAGTCTGATCTATAAACCTAAGAAAGAAGGGGGTCTGAGCATTTTTAACCTCCATGACTTCAATCTTGCCCCCATTTCCAAATAGATGTGGAAGGTACTACAAAATGAGTCATTCCTGGGTAAACTCCTCAATACTTTATATTCATCAAGCTACCCACATCCTAGCTGCACAACGTCTGGCCATTCAGCCTCTAGATTTTGGCAGGACACAATATATTATAGTCGGAATTTAAGAAGTCTAGTTCAATGAAAATTAGGGAAAATGTCCTGTGTTAGATTCTGGGAGGACAAATGGATAGGTCTCAATCTTTGGCATTTGTATTCCCATGGGCCTACAAACTTGCCCTCTTGGTTAATGTCAATGTTAGGTCTCAAGGGCTCCTCCATAATAATCAGTGGAGATGACGACCATTGATTAGAAGGCTTATCTATAACATAGAAACTTCAGAGGTTCAAGCTCTTAGAGATCATCTCTCTAAACTTCCCTTTCAACCTACAAAAGACAATGATGTGGCATGGTGGCCGTACAATCATATTGGGACCGTCACAGTTCAGTCTATCTACAACTTCATCCATGGCATTATAACTCAATTCTAAAAATACAATTTCATCTGGAACTCCATAACCCCTATCAAAGTCAATCTTTCTTTGGATTCTTTTCAAGAGGAAACTTAATTCAAAGGTGAACCTTAGTAAAAAAAAAAGAGTGTACTGGGGATACTACTAGCTCATTTTGCAATAAAACCCCTAAAATGGTGATCACCTTTTCCACAATTGCCTATATGTGAAGTTGTACTAGAACTTTTTCTTGCTATTCCTGTAGAGAGCAACTTCATTATAGAGTCCAATGAGTCCTTTCTAGAAAGTAAAGAAAATAGAAAATTGTTGGTTGTTTTATTCCCATCTCTTTGTTAATGCTTATGGCGGGCAAGGAACAATTTGATTTTTAAAGAAACAAATTTATCTCCCTGTGTTTTAGCATTTAATGCTCTCATTTCATAATGTTATGGACTGGTAACCATGCAGCTAAGAGAGCTGCCACTGTTCACAGAGTTGTGGCCGAGAAAGGTTTAACTCATTTGTTGCTAAGTGATGACTCCTCATCCCACAACATGGCTCATGTGGGTGACAACTTCCAAGGATTCTAGTTCCGAACAAACTCTCTTTTGTAATTATCTACTTATAAAGGCTGTCTTATTATATTTTGGTTGTGATGTGTAAGCTCCAAACAATGTATACCCTCTCTCGTATCCTTTTCTTGAACTGCTCTAGCCTGAGTTCTCTTCTTCATTTTTTTCTCCCCTTTGCAATAGGTGACGACTATAGTCATCTCCCTACTCTTAGGTTGGGATTATTTATTTTGAAGTACTTAGACTGTTGACTTCAAGGTTAAGATTGGATTTTTGGATAATTAATGATTTATGAACAGGATGCCCTCACCCTGTTTCTTGCTGTAAAAAAAAAGATCTGAGGCATAAATTTTATCAATTTTAAAAGATCTCTTCCCGCATTCTTGTATCATAGACAAACAGTACAGCTTTAAAATGATTCATAAGCAGGAGTAATTTTAGATGTCAATAGAATACCTTACTGTTTAAACCTGTGAAAAACTAGCATAATCTGATCAGAGCAATATCCTGTCTTCTGATGGAATTCAGTTCCCACCTAGTTTTGAGGGCCTAAAATGTCGAAAAGACGGGTCTCAGCGAGAAATATTCGTTTTAGATGGCGCTACCGAGATCTCTGCAGGAGTTTAAACCGATCGAAATCATCCTATCTGACCTCAAGTTTGGTCTTGACCTGACCCTAATCCCCTGAAAATTCTCAGCCATATAATAGTAAACATAAATAAGTCATGCGCCTATAGAAACAAATCCTAATAACATTTTTCTCATTATAATAAACCGTAGCTGAACGCTATTTTTGCAACAGAAATCATTCTGCAAGCAAACTTCTGCACACATTGTCAAGCTTATTAACCATCCAACAAACTTGAGATGTTTCTATTGAGTCAGATCTGGAAATATTGTTATAAAGGGGATTAAGAGTCATAAATGAGGACCCACATTAAAATTTGATCCGTTGTAATTGAGCTTGGAAAGGGCTGAATATAACGGCCACACACTGGGTATAGGAAATGCAAGCACAGGATTGAGCTGTCACTCTGTACATTCTCTTATAAGCAGGGGGGGGAAACCATTATCCTTTCTTTCCTTTTTTTTTTCCTTTTTTTTTCTTCTTTTTTTTTTCCTTGAAACAGATTGCAAATACCGCAGCAAGCATTCATAGATAACAAAATGGCCAGGAGTTATAGTGCAATTGCATAACATTTAGGGAGTTGCTGATGGGGGAAGTGGTATGGTTGTCTTCCTTTTCCTTCCAAGGACAGATGCCCTCTCCAGCCTCGACCCACCTTCTCTCCATTTCTTGAAAGCTACCATTGATGACCGAGCTGCGTCAAACACTTCAAGAATGGAAAAATATATGTATAGCTCCATCAGAGAATTACCCAATAAAGAACACAGTCATGGAACAAGTTATCAGATAATAGACAATTTGAAAGATTAACGGAAAACTTACACTGTCTCTCTTCTTTTGTAAATCGATTCAGAAATTTGGGACCCGTTGAAACATGAGTACTGTGCGACTTACTAAGAATCTCCTTGTACCTACTGGTGAATGTGTAATGAACAAAAGAGCCAATAGTCTTGTCTCCGACACTGTTTAATAGAAAAACATTAGTAAAGATTATTTTCTGTTTATGCAACACTTTGGTACAAATAATAACAGCTTTTCCTTGTACATCAAAATCAATTCAGGAATTTGTTCCACATTTTATCTTTGGCAATGAAGAGTTCGATATATATTGATATAATAATAATAATAACTGTACATATTTTCATAAATTTTCTTAGCCTTTGCACTTCAACTGGCCAGATTACAGAATAAATGCCAGGTCATACTTTCGATGGAAACAAATAAAAGTTTAAGACTTATATCCAATAAAGAGAGGTACTAAATCTATAACATTGGAATGCAATTTCACTGGATAGCAAGCTCAAAATATGTTTTTTCTTTTCCAATGAACTAGATAAAGTAGTAGAACTTAGTTGTTGCACGTAACTCACAGGGGAACAATCTTGCATCCCAACTCATAAAAGTAAGGACAACGAAAACTCAGGTCCACACATGCTGCATCAGCCTGGATTTCCTTCCTTGTTCTGAAAAATCATGACAAAAATCTGCAGTTATCAGAAACCTGAAGCAAGCATAGTTAGTTTTCATCACATTTTCTTCCGAGCAAGATTTTTATATGATATCAATAGGATTTTTATTTTTTATTATTATTATTATTATTATTATTTTTTTTTTTTTTTTTTTTTGCTATT